CCATTAGAACCGGAAAGACCTAATGAACAACTTTAATTAATACCAAAAAGAAGGTTTACTTAATAATAATATCTCTTCCGGAGCACTTTTATGCATTTTGGAAGGTGGCATTAGCAAAAATGGAAGGTGAAAATAGCAATTCTCTATTATTATTATTTTTTTTAAAATTCTAAAAATAACTATCATTCTGACAGGCCATAACTAGTTAATAACACACTATGCTGAATAGAATGACAAGACCAAAATAAACTTTCCATAACTGTTATTATAACAGGCCAACTATTTACAAACTTTAGATTAAATAAATTAATACTTTTCTAATAATTATGGATAAGATAAAAGGAATCAACAAAACCAAACTAAAAGTTAGGTTTGCAAAAGAAATAGAGTTATTTCTAACTCTATTTATTACAATGCTTAAATATTAAAATTTAATAAACTTAAATATATTAATATTACTACTCTAATTTACTAATCTCAATAATTATTTTATAATTATACTAATTAATACTAATTGCCATTATTATTATATAATTATAGTAGTCTAATTCATTATATATAGGATCAAAAAATACTAAGCTATATCATTCATATAACTGTAATAAGGCATGTCATATGCCTGGTTATAGGCTGATTCAAAACAAAAGCTGCCTCAATACTATTATATCGAGCAGCTCTATTGCTTTGTTTCTCATATACTTGTTGTTAACTACTAAAAATATACAGGTACTTGCAGAGCATTGTTCCTTAATTGGCACTTCTGCTTCTTATTATCAATTATTTTTTTATTTATTTATTTGATAAAATTTGAATCTAAATAATTACTAATCTTCTTTTTTCCTTTTTTATAATTCTTTTTTTTTTTCTTTTTTATATTCTTTTTTTTTTAAAAAAACAAATTAAAAACTCATAATACTAGAAGCATCTAAATCTATTGTATTTACTGCTCTAATATACAACCTAATAGCATTAGAGACCTATCTACTAATCATTTGGATTTGCTCTAAGAAAAGGCCTCTTTTTATCATTACTGTAGTACTACCAATCCTTAAACTATGTACTGTAAACCTCTATTTGATTTTGGTATAAGCTGCTATGTGCTTTACTATAGCCAATACTGCTAAAGTAAACATTTTATAACCTAATTTAGACAAAAAAGAAGAGTATACTCATTTGATACTGGTCTAACTTTAATATACTTTTCTACCAAACCTACTAGACAAAACTTACTGTTCAATCTTTTTACAGAAATGAATTTTCCTCTTACAAGCTGGTCTGTCTTAGACTTATTAATGCAGACTTATAACAAACTATCAATCTACTTAAGGTCTTTCATTCTCAAGTTACAAAGCTCACCTAGGCATCTCATTATTCTTAAACCTAAAGCCACTAATGCAAGATCTCTAATCCAATATTTATAAGAAACCCCTTCTGAAAGAAAAAGAAAATAATGTTTTATTTTTTCTACCAACAAAAAGTCTCTAGGCCAATTTGTTTCTGTGTCATATGCTAACTATTTCTTTACACTATTAACTAAATATTGAACTGTACTGTTCCTAGTTAGATCCAGTAAACCTCTCAACCTATATAATCTAGAAATTGTTATTAAAAAACTAACTATCTTCAAACTACAACTTGCCATTTCTAACCAAGCTACAAAGGCCATTAACATCATGTATAAGACTGGACAAGAGACATGATATGTCTTGCTAACAAAATTCTTAAAAACTAATCACACCCTTCTTAATCTTTTTCTGTATGATTCACTGATTATATTATCAACTAGAAACTCTGCCTAATCTAATAACATATACACTAATCTATCCAAATTGCTTTCAGGTATCAATTCAGATTGTTGCATAGCTCTAGAAAACTCAATAGGCCTAACAAGACAATTTCTGCTGGTGGCAAAAGATCTATTTTCTCCTTTTGAGTATTTATAACAATTGGTCACTATGAAGCCACAACTTAGACAAAAATAATAATTACTATGAAAGCTCTGTATTCTCTTACATAAACTAAAGTTTAATAAATTATTGAAAATGGTAGGCATAAATAGTTTATTACATCCTGTCAGTTTTAAGTAAAACGGTTGACTGTTTCTAATCCTAGACAGCAATACAGACTGTTAAACCTTACTAATTTTGCATTCAGATGATCTGCAAATTTGTCTACTTTGAACTTTTTCCAATGAGTCTTCAATTTTACAACTATTTTCATTTTTATAGACCAATTACCTAAATATCTTATCCTAAAAAATGTATCAACTAGATTTCTTTTATTAGAAATCCACAGAGTTTGAAAAATCTTTACATCTTTCTCCAAATACAACTTCTATACTTCATATACAATATTCTTCTACCAATTTAGCAGTCCTCCTTCTATCATCATTTTCAATGTCATTTTGTTGTCTATCATTAGTATTACAAATAATCTCAACAAAAGGTTTCCAAATAGCTAAAGAACCTGTAAAATAGCAATTATCTTTAATTGCACTATCAGATTTTTTGTGAGTCTATGAGGCCAACAACCTTTTGCTATCTGACCATTGAACACTTCACATTAACTCATCAATAAAGCATTCATGAAAACCATCTTTATTTTTGATGGTTTCTAAGCCAAATGACTGTTCCAAGCTCTTAAATTTTTTACTAATTACTTTATATCTTCTATTGCCTATGAGAACAATCTTACTGTCTTGTTCCATTCACTCTACAGACAATTCTTTACATCTATCAACTTGTAAAACTCTAAACTCTTTACTTTTGTTTGAAAGAACACTTTTGACAAGCTCTGAATCTTTCTTACAATTGATACTAATTCTCTTGCTAAGACCTACAATCTCTCTAATAGATTTTCCAACTAACCTATTATAGTAATAATCTTCTTTTCTGGAATAATAACTACACTTTTCACTAAATTGATAATGAGGCCACAAAACTTAGACTACTGAGTTAGAACCCAATCACTTTTCTTTTCTGCTTAGATCCAATCATAACTTCTTAAATCTGCTTCTATAATCTTCTTTTATTGCTTTAAAAGCATTTTCTTTAACAGATATACTATCCATACATCATTTAAATAGTTTTTGCAAAAAATTTCTTGTGCTTTTTAGCTTCCCACCATGGCTTTTATAATTTTTGCAAATATTCATAAGGACTGACTCAGGCCAAAAGAAAGAATTTTGTAGAAATATCATTTTTTGTTCATAATAAACCTAAGAAATCTTTGTGCTATATTGTTCATTATCATATAATGATATTCCTTTTTCAAGTCAAAGGTTATAACCCACCAAGCCTTTTCAACTGTCTGCAAAAGTAATCCTATATCTTTGAATTTGAAGAACTTCTTTAGAAGTATCACATTTAACTTTCTGAGATCTATTACTAATCTGAATTTCTTTATTTCTTATTTTGAAACAAGAAAAATGAAACTCACTTCTAGTAAAAACTCTAACCTCAAATTATTCTTATCTACAAAACCTACTACCTCTATTTCACATATATAATTCAACTTTTGTTCTATCTATAAGTTTTCTTTCATTAAAAACTGCCTGAAATTTGGTACCTATTGCCTTATTAACTTCATAATCCTCCTTGAAAATAATGAAATCTTTCTTTTTAGCCAACCCATAACAATTAAAACTGATTTTATAATTTCTTTCCAATACTAAACAACTAAAACTGAATATAATCTTTCTGTAACTATCTAACTCTCACTTACCTTCTAGATTATATTTTTTGTATTATCACATCTTGAGTATAATCAACTTCTTTTTAGTTTTAACCTGTCTTTTCAAAAGAATATATTTAAATGCTTTCTAGAATTGCATTTGTTAGTATAATGTCTTTACCTTCATATAATAAACATACTACATCTTTAAACCTGATTCTACTATTAACACCTGAATTATTAACTAATTGCTGAACCTTCCTATAACTAAGTTGCATCTGTAAACTATGTACTAAATTTCGAAAAAAACTATCTTAAAATATTTGCTAATCTGAAACATTTAAGTTGATCCTATACTAAGAACCAGCACTATTTCACTGTTCTTCAAAACCAACAAGACCAAAACCCATTGCCTAAAAAGAAGCTTGATACACAATAGTTGTACAAATAGTTAAGACTAAACCAAAGTAAGCAAAAAAGGTTGTATTCTCTAAAAAAACAATATTTGCATTTGCTTATCTTGAGACTCATTACTAGTAAAACTTTGGTCTTACACTACTCTAAATTTCTTACTTTTGGTAAACAAAAACTATTGTACAACCAGTTTAACTTTTTTTCATTTACTACCAAACAACTTAACCATTGAATCACTATCATCAGAGGCCATCTTTGCCACCATATTTCAACCATCTTTATCAGCAACTATAACTATATATACCCTCTCAAGCAACCTGTCTTGTCAAGTAAACAAACTCTATATCTCCAAACAACAAAGTTTTGTTCAAAAATGAACCAACTTTGCACTATTCATTATACTTCTATTGATTCCTAACCTTCAAAAGTTCATGTCTCTTTCAAACACTTTCATTCACTTTACAAGAACCTTTTTTCTTCAGGTCTAATATCATCTGTACTATTAGTTGAACTAACCACTAACTCAAAAAATAATGAACCAACACTACCAAACATAGGTGTGGTAACACCCTCATCACTAGCAAAAGCCTTATTCTTTTTAACATAAGCCTTATCAGAAACTTCCCTTCTCTTATTCTTACTAACCAAACAATTAACCAAATCCTGTTTTGAACCCAATTCAGCAATCACCAACTCATGACACAAGAACCTTAACACATTGACTGACCTACGACCAAAATTGGCTTCAAAATTAGCCTGGACGCTTTTCTGTACTACTTCACAATCACTACTAAACGAAGACACATGATCATCCAGAATATTGTCATCAATATTTTGAACTTGTTTTTCTTTATTAGAATTTTCTTTATTAACATTCATTTTACTAGGATTTTGCTTAACAAAACCAGACTAAAAGTCGAGTTCGCAAAAGAAATAGAGTTATTTCTAACTCTATTCATTACAATGCTTAAATACTAAAATCTAATAAACTCAAATA